TTAAGATATATTGCATATGAAAACATTGTAATGTTTACTGATAAACTGCCAAATTTTGTTAACATTCGCATACTAATTCAAAAGTTATAGCATGAAAACTATGACAAGAACAAAATGGTTACAAGGTTGGTCCCAGGGACCGAGCCCAGACTGAAAAAGAGTTAATACAGCCAAAGTATAACATATCATTCACACACACAAAGACCTAAGTTCATACTAACTGTAAAATGATATGACTGAGCAAGTATACAGTGAGAAAGATGGAGGTATAAAATATCATGTGTACATATACAAAAATTATAAATCTACCAAAGCAATCTTAAAAAAGTTAATAGCTTAAACCTGACCCACCTGGTGAACAAAGATGTCTTCACTGGTATCCAATCTGTAAAATTACAATAATTTACTACATTTCTTTCTTATCTAAACATTAAAATAATTTACTCATATGTACATCCCTGTTCTTAGTTTAAGATGAAATTTCATATTCATTTCACCCCTACAAAATGTTTGTAAAAATATTCTTGTTCTCGCAAGAAAAAGTGTGAAAAATTATTGGTTTTGTAACCTTAAAATCATTATCTCAGATGTCTATAAATAATATAAAATAATAAAGAATGATAAATATATATTTTAAAAAATTATATAGAAAATTTCAAATGCAATTATTTACATCGACGAATTAAAAGAACTTCCATGTTATTTAAGTACATTTATGGTTATTAATTCCAGCGTACATGAAATTATGCAGTACACACATGCACAGAATCAATACTTCAACAACACTTTCTTTACTGACCTGTTGATAAAACCATATCCATTCTTCACATTAAACCATTTCACAGTTCCAGAAACCCGAGTAGCTGAAAACAATAACTATTTTAGTTAAATCTCATTCTTGGTTTTTCTTCCTCTCTAAATATACAATTACTAGCAAACGTACCCAGCCTTGCTCAGGTTATTAGGTTGATATATTCTAGATGACTATGTCAGTATGTGTATTCTGAACCTACTTCAGCATAGAAGAACAGTCAAAAACTATTTGATACATTTTTTTTTCACAAAAACATAAAAACACTTCTTTTCTCTGTGGTTTTTTGCTAGCTGGCCTCATTAAAAAGATGCATGCACGCACATGGATAAGTAATAGTACCCAGGTGTACACCCTTAGGGTCTACTAAGTATTTTGTAATGTAAGGAATTACTTCTTTTCTATGTGGTTTTTGCTAGCTTGCCTCATTAAAAAGATGAGTATGTGCGTGAATAACATAACTAATAATATCCGGGTTCACACCCTCAGGGTCCATTTAGTATGGATGCAAAATTTCAGGTTTCTAGGTTCTTTCTTCTTGGAGCTATGGCACTCACACTTCTTTTCTATGTGGTTTTTTGCTAGGTTGCCTCATACAAATATGTGCAAGTGCATGCATGCACACAGATGGATAAGTTATAATATCCAGGTGTACACACTCAGGGTCCACTTAGTACGAGTGCAAAATTTCAGATTTCTAGGTTCTTTCCTCTTGGAGATATGGCAGTCTCACACACATAGACCCACCCTTTATTATTATTATATACCTTGATTATGTTTTCTAACAGTATACATTACAGGCAGAGTTTCATATGTTTAGATAACATACTACATTATTCCAAGATCTCATAGACCATAATGGCATGGTCAAATGAAACTTGATACTTAGATTAGATAATATCAAACTGAATAATAGTGACAAGTTACTTTAAATATATAATATATTAAGCTTAACAATGTATTTATTAGATATACATAGCTTCTCAAAAATCATGTGTATCATGATATTATCATCTACAACACGAGTCAAGTATCTGTTTAATTACAATAAATATATTTCATTAGCATTTTTAAAAACACTAAAGCAGAGGTTGTGTTAGTGCAAAATTGTGTATATATTATGCAAATGAAAACTATGCCTGTTCTTAAAAACTGGCTCACCATGCATAATACGTATTAATTGTGTTTACGAGCTGATTTTAAATTTAATCAATAATGCCACTGACAAGACATAAATCAATAAGATGAGATGAACACCCAACATATTTTACATGATTAAAATGGAGAAAACTTACTGAATAAAAATCAGCAAAGCTTGTTGGCAAACTGATGACTAACTACACTTTTTGATGAAAAATAATATCACAAGTAAATACAAAAAAGTCTTGTATGGATTAATACACCTAAAGGTAGACTAAATCCTTTGTTTTTGAAATCTAAAAAACTGTCAGTAATTAATAATTAGAGTGCTAAGATTTCTTGTATATTCATAACAATGTTTATGAACTAAAAAACTAAATGTTATTTATTTTTTGTACAAAATAGAAATATTTGCTGTATAGCATTCAATTTCCTATCCTTAGTTAACTTCAGTACTTTTTTTTTTACTACTGCTTAATACTTTTGCATAGGTTGTCATTTCTAATGTTTCTTAATATTTGTAGTTATCTAATGCTGCAGGTAAACCAAATTAGAATTCTCTATAAAACAGACTAACACTTGATTAATCTATTAATTTTTCTTTTTGTTTTGTTATACAATTTAACTATTTAGCTGATCCGAGGCTTAAGAAAATATCTGGGTTTATGCTAAAATTTATTACTTATCTTAGTTATAATTCTGGAATCACAGTTATGTGATAGTGTTTTTATGTTTACTCCTGATAAAGTTGTGTTGCCACAGTTTAGCAGAATAACTGAAAATACTAACTCTAAAATAAAGTAAGACAAACTCTTAGTAACTACTATATAACAATTAAGCTGCAGGAAGATGGGTGTGGAAAATATATATGGAATAGAACTTTATGATTCGATAAGTTTTGATAAGTTTTTTTGTTGTTGAAATGACACCACTACTTGGACTCTACCTTTAAATAACATACAAAAACATTAAGACATGACTAAAATGTTTGACCATTTCAAACTATATATATATTAACTATCAATTGATGACAAAACCTTGTTGAAATGTTGTACATTTGCTGTTATGTTAAACTTGTATTAAAGTTTTTCTTCATTACCCATTCAAGCCGTCTCCAGCCATTATATAATTATGGTATTCTCTGTTGTAAACTGTTAGATACACAAAATTTATAAACTAAAATGTAAAATCAATTTTCTGATCACATGTTATTTAGATGTGATAAACCATACCTGACCCTTTTCAATACTGCTGCTAATACTGTCAACAATGCTATAATGCTGAACTTCAGTTTTTCAGTACAGTTTTTGTATTGTTAATTTCAAAAAGAGAGAGACTTTCACTGATAACACACTAGGTCAATATAGTAAAGAAGTTAATAAAATTGGAAACACCTCCTGAAATAATTCAAAATAGATGGTTCAAACCTTATTGCAGAATGAATCCAATCAAGAGGATAGCACAACAGCTTTTCTAACAAGAAGATCCAGGATCAAATCCCAACCCTTACCTAAACAAACACTCCTTTTCTAGATGTATCTGAACATGGCAGAAGACTAGATGATAATATAGAGTATAGACCACTAACCATTTATACCTGGTCACTAAAACCACTTGGAATGCACAGATTTTAGATTATTTTGTTGTACAATAATTATTCTGGTAAAGCCCTTGCAAATTTGAATTATGAGCTAAGTTAATTAAAACTATATCAGTGAGATTTAATAATCTAACACTAAAATACTGGAGTCTGGAGGGGATTAAAACTCTAATTACAATTCCAAAATTTTACAGAAAAACCTCTCTTAAATTAAAGTTAAAATTACATTGATATAGATAAAACTCTAAACACTCCACATGATCTTCTCATTATAGCTTATTTTTCCCATAAAAAACAAGGATTCTCTGTTGTGAGAAATTCTTTTCTAATTACCATACTCTAAATGAATAAATTTTTTGCTTCTCAATAATGAAATTCAATTCTCATGTTTTTGTTCAGTTTGTATTCATAACATCAAGACTCAAGGCCTTTTTAAACAAAGATATATCTTTTAAGTACAATCTACCCTTCTCAAAATCTTACTATCATATATATAATTAGAAATACTTAAATACTCAAAGTGATATAAATGACTGATATATATAAATGATGAGCAAAAGATGTTGAATCAAGTCTTTTAGAAGCTCCACTAGTTTTCTAATTGATGAGATGATCATTTTATTTACAATCTTTCTCTACTTTGTATCACTGAACTAATTATAAATTTTTGTTAAGCTCTTCCATCTATTTTATAACTTATAAGCATGTGAAATACTAATGTATCTCTACAGCAGTACTTTATAAAATAATTTCTAAAATTTTAAAATGAAATTATATTAGTAGCTAAATACGCAAGTGCAACACCAATAACGATACCCAAAAACAAAAAACAGGAACCACTGCCTACTAACAGTATTATTAAATAACATTACCTACAACTTACAAGGATGTAATACTCATAGTTATACTAATAACTATATTAGTATATAAGTTATAACTATAGTATACAATGCTAACAGTAGCAGAGTAATACAATTTCATTGTAATTTTGTAAAATAAAATATCCAAGTTTGTAGTGAAATAAAAACAGATTTTGTATCATGCTCAGCATTATTAGTAAAAAAACGAAAAATTTGATGGAGACCGTGGTCAAAAACAAATAAAAATAAATTATGGTGTTTTTTGTTAGGGCACAGTTAGGGTTGGTTAACGCATTCAGCTAAGCCTAAAATTATGGCTAAATCAATGGTAATGTGCTCCTCTAAAAATAGGACTAAAGCCAAAGGCGTCGATAGACTAACGTTCATGGGACTTCATACTGTACAACCAAACGTTTTTATCAAACGTTTATATATTTTAATAAATTTTATAAAATTACCAAGAACTTTCTTGTTTTTTCCAGTTTCTGGTTTTTCATCTGTTTGTCTTTCGGGTTCTGTCATAGTTTTGATGGTGAAAGTATCTCTTCCAGAGTTTAAACTCTCCAAAATTCCGTCCTCTCTCTCTGATGTTATTTCTCTTCTCCGCTATTCACTTTGTTCTAGCTTCAGTTCACACTACTCGTCGAAATGCCGAAAAACCCATTGGTTATTACAATGACATAATTATCAATTTTATTTATTTAGTGTTTTTACTACTATTTGGAAATAAATGTCAAAACGCTAAACTCATTAGTTATAACAGATTGACACAATTATTTTTTTTCATTTGGTGTTTATACTGCTTTTATTTTTTATTTTTTCATCTAACTTCTTTATGGAGAAAAATAAACATTAAAATACTTTTCGTCACACATCACAAGCGTATATATACATATATATATATAGTGTTGCGTCAGCGAGTCCGTCACTGTAGTCATGTCCCACGTTTCTAGAACTATCCCGTATCTTGGCGAATGCTCTAGTAATTACTAGATGGAGGGTAGACTGGTATATAAAAGAGGGGAAGGTAATGTGTGGATAGACAGTGTGTAATTGATCCGCAGTCAGAAGTATTATTGACGTTCGTTGACATAGCGTTGTTTTAGCGCGATTGTTCACGTTGAGTGTATCGGTAAAGTTATATTCGGAAAGAATAAACCAGTTTTATTAAGTAAAGACTTGTGTCGCTTAAGTTTCGTCGGAACGAAGTTACGGAAAATTAATCAACAAACGGAGACGTAACAATATATTTATCAGTGCCAACAACATTTGATCACGTCTGATTATCAAGATTTTCTTGTATCACCTTTCCAAGAACAACTACAAAAATATAACAAAAATTAATTGCTTAAAATTGCCAAAGTTTTAGAACTAGAAGTTAAAAGGTTACTGAGAAAAAACTGAACTAAAAAAGCATACTATCGAAATACTAGTAAATGATTATTTGTTGCCTGAGGAAGCATTAGAGGAATACTCTGGTGTATCTACTAGCCAATCGGAGTTGATTGATAAAGATAGGTTAGAGATTCAGCTAAAACTTAAACAAATGAAGCTCGAACAAACTCATATTGAAACCAAGAAAGAAAACGGATGAATTCGTATTGAAGCCGAGAAAGAACAAACTCGAATTGAAGCAGAGAAAGAAATTAGGTTGAAATAAATGGAAATTAGACTTAACTGCGATCGACCAAGGCAAAATGACAACTTTGAACTTAATCGATATGTTAAAGTACCACCATTTAATGAAAATAAAGCTGATAAATATTTCTAACATTTTGAGAAGGTTGCCCAAACCATGGAATGGACCACCGAAAAATGGTCATTATTATTACAAAGTGTCTTAATTGGTAAAGCACAAGAAGCTTACACTGCTCTCTCTTTAGAAGATGGTACAAATTATGATAAGGTTAAAGCAGCTATTTTTAAAGCATATGAGTTAGTACCGGAGGCTTATCGCCAAAAGTTTAAAGGTTATTGCAAACAAGATAATCAGATTTATATGGAATTTGCCCACGAAAAAGAACTTTATTTTGATCAATGGTGTATTCGATGCATATTGGCGATAGTTTCGACAAACTAAGACAATTATGTTTAATTGAGGAATTTAAACATTGCGTACGTGACGACCCCAAAACTTACCTAGATGAAAAGAAAGTTGAAACACTACAGCAAGCAGGCACTCTTTCCGATGACTACACTTTAACACATAAAATCACTTGTCATAAAAAGAAGATCCTACCATCTCAACAAAAACCTGTATCTGTTTAGTCCACTAAGGGTGAGGATTCTTCCAAGAAATCCAGCTCCTCTACTTCGAAATTTTTTGACAGTCAGGATAAAACTTCTTTGAAACAATCAAGGCCTGTCTGCCATTTCTGTGGAAAACCTGGACATGTTATGTCCGATTGTTGGGGTTTGAAAAAGAAGAAAAAAGGGAAGTGCATTTGTGCATTTGTGCCCAGTGCATTTGTGGCCACTGATATAAAGGCTGATGTAATCAGGGAGGAATTTAGATCTTTTGTGTCTGTTGGTTCTGTGTCTTTGGCAAATGACACTGGCAATTCCATACCCATATGTATTTTACGTGTTGTTGTTAGAATGTGCATTGCCGTTAGAATCGAGTTCTGCTACTGGTGAGTCTGTTATTGTTCAGGGTATTGAGGGTGGCTTTGTTAATGCTCTTCTTCATAATATTTATTTAGCATCAGACCTAGTTTTGGGACAGTTGTCGTTGGGATAAGACCTACTCTGCCAATTAAGGGTGTATCATTGTTGTTAGGAAACGATTTGGCTGGGAAAAAAAGTTGCTGCCAAACCTAAAATGGTTAACGAGCCAACTGTTAACTGTTTCATCTAAGGATGATGTTGTAGTTGACGAGAATCCCCATGTGTTTCCCTCGTGTTGTGTGACTCGAGCTCAGACTAAGAAATTAAGCCAAAAACAAAGGATAGACATGGAATCAGAGGACGATATTACAGATTTTCCCAGACAATATTTGTTGCCGAACATAAAATGGTTAATGAACCGATTACTGTTTCATCTAAGGATGATGTTGTAGTTAAGGATAATCCTGATGTGTTTCCCTCGTGTTCTGTGACTCCAGCTCAGGCTAAGAAATTAAACCAAAAACAAATAATAAGCGTGGATTCAGAGGATGATATTATAGATTTGTCTAAGGCATGTTTTTGGATCCAACAGGGATCTTGTGAATGATTGTCCTACTGAAAATACCTCAGTGAGTGACAACAATGGGCTTTAAGGATCTGATTCACTTAGTGAAGTTCCATTTACTAAAAGTAAACTGATCACTGAACAAGAAAAAGATTTGCAGATCATTTCACTATTTAAATATGCGCTCCCAAAAGATGAACTGGGGAAGTTCCAAATGGTTATTTTTTCACAAATGGGGTGCTTATGAGGAAATGGAGACCACAAGATGTGCCAGCTTCTGAGGACTGGGCTATTGTTCACCAATTCGTTGTTCCCAAAGTATGTCCTTCTCAAATATTGAAAGTTGCCCATGAACTCCCAATGGGAGATTATTTAGGTGTCAACAAGACAGGTGACAAAATTATGAGATATTTCTTTTGGCCAAAAATCAGGCAAGACATTTTTCAGTTTTGCAAAGCTTGTCAAACCTGTCAGTTGATCGGAAAGTCTAACCAGAGAAAGTAAAAGAAAAATGGAAATATAGAAAAAAGACAGAAAGAAAGAAAGAGACAAAGAAAAAGACAGAAGAAGGAACGGGAAAGAAAAAGACAGAGAGAAAGAAAAAGAGAGAAAGAGACAAGGAAAGAATGAGACAGAAGAAGGAACGGGAAAGAAAAAGACAGAAAGAGACAAGGAAAGAAAGAGACAGCAAGAGAGAAAGAAAGAAAAAGACGGAAAGAGAGAGAGAGAAAGAAAAAGAGAAAGAAAGGAAAAGAAAAAAGAGAAAGAAAGAAAAAGAAAACATAAGGCTGTTGAATTGCAATTTATCATTATGAGGATATAGTTTAAAGAATATCTATATCATAAGGGCTTACAACATTTCATAATGGTTTATAACATGTGTGCCGATGTACTTTCATGTACTATATAATTTTATGATAAAGTGATTTGTACTGGTTGTATTCTATATTGTGATTATTGTTGAAGCTGTATAATCCTTTAAATAATGTATTATAGATAAAATGCAATCTTGCCAATGTATATATATAATGACTTGATTAAAAATTGTCTAAAGCCAATTTTTAATTCTCTAAGGAGAGAGTTGTAACGAATTTATTATTATGTATTTATTTTTAATATGAACATTGT